GGCCGCGCAGCGGAAGGAGGAGGACCGCAGGACGAGGTGGAAGGAAGGCGGCGGGTAATCTGTGATTCAAAGAGAGCGATCCATCTTGCGACATGCCAGCATTCAATCGTCGGCATTTGTTTGTGAAATCAGTCCCGAAGGACTCATCCCGTGGACTTTGTCTCGCCTCTGCGATCTTCTTTCTCCCCGTTTTGTACGATCGAGAAGCCCGGTTCGTGAAAATTGGCGAGATTTTCCCGTGAAAAGCGGATGAACGTGGTGTTGGATCTCATGGTTGAAGCAAAAGTAAATAGTTCCAGCAATCGAATGAAATTACTAATGGATGTGATTGCCTTACAAAATACGAAAATGGAAGTAAATTGGTAGATTTTAATGTTAGTGAAATTCGACGATTAGTAGACTGTGTATATTTATGCATTTATGGACAATTCAAATATGCGAAAAATATACAAAACCTTCGAAGACAAGCCCTCGCTATACTATTCAGAGAGTGAATGTTGTGCTGATAAAAATGACTTTTGCCAGCTGATAGAAATGACAATTATCTCTGATGTGTATTGTCTATAGAATGTTAAAATCGTACAATTTCTCAAGATACTCAGAAATGATACAAAACCACTGACGATTGATGACGTCATCGATCTTTCTTGATGCAAAGGAAACGGATAAATGGAAGGAACGCATGATCGAAGCCAAGCAGGGCTAATCAGTCCATATATATTTATTCAGGGACACGAATCCGCCCTCGTGTTCCTTCGTCCAGACCAAACGAATGCAAAGAGCAGAAACGGGACGGAGGCGCAGCGTGGCTTAGCATTCGGAAAAACCGGAATAGATTCGTGCCTCTGATCCGTGCCAGATCCCATAAAATGACCCCAAGCTCGATCGAATGGCCTTCGTCCGAGGCGCGGGAAAAGAAACGAGAAAGACAGAACCGACCCCTAGGAAATTATTGCTCTCCTTATACATTCGTCCATCGAATTGGGGCCACCACGAATAAACTAGTGCCTTTTTCGACTCACTATGGGGAAAAGGAGAAAGAAAAAAAAAAAAAAGAAATGGGGAAACTGTCGAGTGAATAGGCTGATTTCACGGTGAATGTTCTTTACATTTTCATGGAATCCTGAATCTTTTTACTGCTTATACAATGTAATTTTCAGTTACTTAAATACTTTAGCGAGACGATATCGCCCCTTTTTTTGACAATATGTGGCAGATTAGAAAAATTTACAATTGACGTAGAAGTGCATAGACAGAAAAACGACAAATCAAGCTTTGAGAATAAAAGAGATGTTTAACTCGCTTCTTTACTGAACAAGAGAAATTTTAATAAAGATAAAATTTTAGTCGAGGAAATTTTGTTTAAAGATTGCAGATTTTATTATAAAATTTTTCGCACAATCGATACTGAACATCTACATTATTACACCGAATAACTATAGCTATATGATCGCTGAGATCAACATATACGAAGTCACTTCTTTTCATCCTGAGAGACAGGTGTGTCTTCGTCATTGGGTTCTTGTTTCGAGATATAATGGTAGTCGAGAAATCTGTAAGCCTGTGTAAGCTGCGCGCAGGAATTGGCGAAGTGGCACGCAAACAGCAACATATTCCGTGGCTGCACCTTCATGGCGAACCTCATGAACATTATAGAGTACAGAGCCAACGCTAAAAATCAATCGGACAAGTTAAAAACGAATAAAGGACGAACGCGAGAAAGAGAAAGAAAAGGGAAGAGAAAGATCGTTTTGAAAATGTCCCGTGAACTTTCCATAGAAAAAATGACTAAATTTTCACGTCTTTCAGCACGATCTTCCATCCTCAATGATAGTCTTCGTTCAAACCACGTGTTCCATGGAGGCTCATTAAGAAATAAACGGCGATTCGCTGCGTTCGAGCGGCAATTATTTTATGGGGCCGTTTCTCTGGCCCTCGACGTCCCTCGCCCCCGCGTTGTCCCCGTTCCCAGTCCACCGTCTTGGTCGTGGTCGTGGTCGTCGCGATACGTGATTATTATGAGCGGCGAAATTCGAATTCCCCGAAAGGACCAACGACGAAGCGCGGCCGCGGCGGACTCACCCAAAGTCATTTTGCCGCTAATGATTCTCGGATGCTTTTGCGTGTCGGATATGGCCGCTATGGGTATCATCCAGTTGAACACCGGTCCCCAGAAGTGTGTGCTTGAAAAAAAAAGACATATGCGAAAATAACCAGTAGTAGTTTATCTTCCATAAATTATTTCGTTTCGTGATATAAACAGCGGCGAGGAGCTGTGCGTGCCTAACTGTATCAGGAGAATGGTGAAAACGATATAATATCTCGTTTTCTTATCCTCGTTGATCGTAAAACGAAAAGGAGAAGAGAGGGAAAATATAAAGAAAATAGGATATGTATGAGGAAATTCGAGGATCCAAGATTACATAAGCGCGACCGGAACGATTTTTTCAGGGGGATGCCTGACGGTAATAAAGATTTTACGAGACTAGTTCTTCTATCGTTCTCTTTGTCCCACATTTTTGTCTCCTCCGTTATCTCTTTCGACGCCAATGCAAACATCGTATTCGCATGACGATATCGTGGGATTAAGTTCCTCTTGCGCTCGTTGAGAGCGGCTCGATCACGACGATTACCTCATGAAATAACTCCTCGTCTGCTTGCTGAACAACCCTTTCGATTGTTTTCCCATTTTTGGGATGCTAGTGTGAAAGTATCTCGAGCTTTACGAAGAACTTTCGAAAAAATGTAACCTTCGATCTTAACAACGTGACATAAACGCGTCGAAAGGGATCGATCATTGCTTTTTGATCGAACGATGGTTCAAAATTTGCATTGCATACTTCGTTCCGTTGTAAAGGCGTGAAAGCGAAGAGAAATCGAATCGATCAATCGCTGTAATCAGTCGATAGAGGCCACGAAACAATTAATTCCGCGTCAACATCGCATTTCAAGATTCTCTCTTGAAAACCGATCCATCACTTTTACCGATCTCTCACCCTCGACCAATTGATTTGCATAACAGTTTACACGCATAATTTACCATCCCTCGTCGGGTGTTCCTCTCGTTTTTTTTTTTTTTTTTT